GGTTTAGACCCTTTGATTACACTGTCCATATTTTAATATATGAAGTAGCTTTTCATGATTATAGCCACTAATAACGGCATCAGTTTGGTGGAAAAGGAAACAGATTTTCTTCATTTCACTCTGTTAGTAAAGCCATCTTAGTATAAGGAAGATACATACACCAGGGTTAGTCATTAACAAACAGGCTAGGCTGGGGGAAGTTGTTTCAGAGATAGTAGGAACTGCAGATGCTGGAGAATCTGAGATAACAAGGTGTAGAGCTGGATGAACACAGCAGGGCAAGCAGCATCAGAGGAGCAGGAAGGCTGACATTTCGGGCCTAGACCCTTCTTCAGAAATGGGGGAGGGGAAGGGAGTTCTGAAATAAATAGGGAGAGGGGGGAGGCGGATAGAAGATGGATAGAGGAGAAGATAGGTGGAGAGGAGACAGACAGGTCAAAGAGGCGGGGATGGAGCCAGTAAAGGTGAGTGTAGGTGGGGAGTTAGGGAGGAGATAGGTCAAGGTCAAGGACAGGTCAAGGGGGCGGGATGAGGATAGTAGCTTGGAGATGGGGGTGGGGCTTGAGGTGGGAGGAGGGGATAGGTGGGAGGAAGGACAGGTTGGGGAGGTGGGGACGAGCTGTGCTGATTTTGGGATGCAGTAGGGGGAGGAGAGATTTTGAAGCTTGTGAAGTCATGGGTACCTGCATGGGCCCAAGCTACGCCTGCCTCTTTGTAGGTTACATGGAACAATCCCTCTTCCGTACATACACTGGCCCTAAACCCCACCTCTTCCTCCATTACATTGATGACTGTATCGGCGCCGTCTCGTGCTCCCACGAGGAGCTTGAACAGTTCATCCACTTCACCAACACCTTCCACCCCAACCTTAAGTTCACCTGGACCATCTCTAATACCTCTCTCTCCTTCCTGTCTCCATCTCCGGCAACCACCTAGAAACCGATATCCATTTCAAGCTCACCGACTCCCACAGCTACCTAGAATACTCCTCCTCCCACCCACCTTCCTGCAAAAATGCCACCCCCTATTCCCAATTCCTTCGCCTCCGCCGCATCTGCTCTCAGGATGAGGCATTCCACTCCCAAACATCTTAGATGTCCTCGTTTTTCAAGGACCGCAACTTCCCCCCCCTCAGTGGTCGAGAACGCCCTCGACCGTGTCTCCTGCATTTCCTGCAACTCATCCCACACACCCCCTCCCTGCAATAACAACCAAAACAGAATCCCCCTCGTCCTCACGTACTACCCCACCAACCTCCGGATCCAATGCATCATCCTCCGACACTTCCGCCATCTGCAATCCGACCCCACCACCAAAGACATTTTTCCCTCCCCACCCTTATCTGCTTTCCGGAGGGACCACTCTCTCCGTGACTCCCTTGTCCGCTCCACACTCCCCTCCAGCCCCACCTCACCTGGTATTTTTCCCTGCAACCGCAGGAAGTGCTACACCTGCCCCTACACCTTCCCCCTCACCCCCATCCCAGGCCCCAAGACTTTCCACATCAAGCAGATGTTCACCTGCACATCTGCCAATGTGGTATACTGCATCCGCTGTTCCTGTTGTGGCCTCCTCTACATCGGGGAAACCAAGCGGAGGCTTGGGGATCGCTTTGCAGAACACCTACGCTCGGTTCGCACTAAACATCTGCACCTCCCAGTCGCGAACGATTTCAACTCCCCCTCCCATTCCTCAGACGACATGTCCATCCTGGGCCTCCTGCAGTGCCACAACGATGCCACCCGAAGGTTGCAGGAACAGCACCTCATATTCCGCTTGGGAACCTTGCAGCCCAATGGTATCAATGTGGATTTCACAAGCTTCAAAATCTCCCCTTCCCCCTACCGCATCCCAAAACCAGCCCAGCTCGTCCTCGCCTCCCTAACCTGTTCTTCCTCCCACCTATCCCCTCCTCCCATCTCAAGCCCCACCCCCATCTCCTACCTACTAACATCATCCCACCCCCTTGACCTGTCCGTCCTCCCTGGACTGACCTATCTCCTCCCTACCTCCCCACCTACACTCACCTTTACTGGCTCCATCCCCGCCTCTTTGACCTATCTGTCTCCTCTCCACTTATCTTCTCCTCTATCCATCTTCTATCCGCCTCCCCCTCTCTATTTATTTCAGAACCCCATTCCCCTCCCCCATTTCTGAAGAAGAGTCTAGGCCCGAAATGTCAGCCTTCCTGCTCCTCTGATGCTGCTTGGCCAGTTGTGTTCATCCAGCTCTACACCTTGTTATCTTTAGGCTGGGGGAACGCCTGTTCCCTGGTGCACCAACATAAAAAGGTACAGTGGTGAATGTACTTGACTCTTCACCCATTTTAAACAGATTGTTTCCTTACACCAGTTTGACACTCCACTCTCCGTTACTTTATTCTCTGTAACAAAGAAATTCTATAGAGCAGTCTTCGCCTCGAGCATACTCTATACAAGTTGCACCATTCCTGCTGGAATTAGTTGAATCCAAACTGGAGCCCAAACAGCCCTGGAATTACTGCCTAAGATACCAGCTGAGTAATGCCAGTCTCATTGCCTAGGTCCCTTGAGGTGCCCTGGTCTCACCTTTCTCCTCCCATTAGCCCTGACATTGTGCCTGCATCCCACTCCCAAGCCCCTCTGTTTGGGTCAGTCTCCAGCCTCTGCATCTGGACTGCACATATTCACAAGCAAACCTTGTGGAAAACTATCCAGATCATGTTTATTCCACAAGCCATAAGGAAATTGTACTCCAAGAACCATGTCGGTTCCTCAATCCCAACCAGGTTCTGAAGGTCCCAAAGCCCTGATTGAAAATCTTAAATCACTAGCAGAGAAATTACAGACATTTCTGCAAAATTACACTAAAGGTTCTCAGAGTTAAAGTTATTATCTTCAGATTTGATGATTCCAGCATATCTGGAGTTGTCTCCCACATTCTATTCTCCATAACCTTGAGATTACCCAAAGCTCTGCTGCCTGTATCTGAACTCACAGCCAAGACACATTCATCCAGCACGCTGCACTACCTGACAAAGATCAGTTCCCTGTCAACCTATGCCTTGGTTTCAAAATTTTCATCCCCATTTTCAAATTTCTCTGAAGTGTCACCTCGGTCTGTCTCTGTAACCTTCTCTCACCCACAGTCTGGACTGGCTGCTCTTTATTTCTGGCCTACAATGCAAGCCTCAATTTCAATTGCCCCATCACTTTCAGCTACCTTGGTCCACATTCTAGACTCCCATCCTTCCACCTCACTTTCGTCCATTAAGCTCCTTAAAGCCTAGCCTTTTAACTTAATTTTTGGTCAACTGATCTCATGTGACTCAGGCATTACATTAAAAATGCTATAGAAATACAAGTTGTTGCTTTTAAATTACAAAGTGTTTACAGCATAAAAATGGGCCATTAGGCATGATAGATTAATATCAGTCCCATACGATTCCTCTATCATTACTTCACTGATCCCCAATTCTTTCCTTTTCCCTATCTTCTTCTTAAATGCAATAATATACTCACTTCAAATGCTTCAATGTAAAGCTTACATTTAAAATGCATCTTCAAATTAAATAGCACATGGCATATCACATAAGAAAAAGCTACAATTCTAATGATTTTAAATTAATTCTGCAAAGGTATGCAAAGTTTCATCCAGTTTTATGTTAAGCAGCAGGTTCCACAATTTAGTATATTTTTAAAGCAGGTTATTTGGTGATGAGTACTCTTGTTTTTGAAGGCTGAGGCAACTAAATGGAAACAGTGGAGTAGGAGAATTCTTTTTCATTGAAGGTTCGCAACCTTCACCAAAGGTTACTGGAAGTGACACACAAATGGCAGCAAACTTGAGTTTGGGAAAAATGCACTGGGATGTAAGTGAAGACGGTCCTGGAGTCGGTTATTATTAATACCCAGTGCCTGAAGGCGGAGGAAGTATCTTAATTATTTTCATCTGTTTCCAAATATGATACATTGAGAAATCTTTTACAGACTTCAACTAGACTTTATACTCAAGTTCATAGGGTTGCTGACTCGGACAAGAATTTATGTTGTCCTTAATAGTGCAACATGCTTTTCAAAATAAAAGAAAACTGCTAATGTTACAAGAGGAAATAGTGTTCTCTTCTCAGTATAGTATTCCACAGTGTGTTAAACAACAGCACACAAGTGGTAAGATGGAGTTGTTATTAGTAAGGAAGTCATGGATCAATCTTTAAAAGATACATGCTGATCATACAGTTTTACTAGTATTCACTAACTACCCTTGCTTTTAAAGGGTATTACATATTGTAGCTACTAATGTGAGTCCCGCAGCCATGTATATACCATGGTCCCTCCTGCAGGTCTCTGCTTGATTCCTTGATTTGGAATCTTCCAGAAAGGAAGCAGCTCATCACATGTATATTGTACTGCATCCATGACCAAAACTATGCTCCCTGCTTTTAAATGTTTTGCACAAGGAATGAAGTTCTTTCTCTCAATATATTTAAATCTGTGTTGAACTGAAGTGTTGTAATACGAGATTTCTGTTTCCCTGGAAACGGGCTACGGCTTGGAGCAATTTGCATCCTCCCTACAAGCAACCTCTCTGTAAGGTGGAATGCTGTCTCTCCTTCCACTACTTTTCAAATTTTTTTGCAGATGTTAAAGTAGGGAACTCAAATGCTGGAAAAATGTCAATCTCTTCTCAATTGATCCACTGAGTGTCAACATCTAGCACTCCCAGTCTTTGTACAGTAAAGGCCAGATTCTATGGCTGGTTCAAACAGGCATTCCTCATTGCAGCTGGTATGACATTTTGCCATCTCACTCCCTACTCATTCTTTACTCTGCAAGCATTTTTATCATTTAGTGTCAAGTTAGGTACAGTCACTACGTACAAGACTGAAACAACTTTCACTGTAACAGGAATGGGTGAGGAAAAGAAAAAAGAAAAATCTTCAAAGTGAAGCATCACATTCAAATTTCAGGGATGAAAATTTATTTCTGAAGGCCAGAGAGAAAGAAAAATCAGTGGCATTAGAAACTGAAAGGTATTAATTGTAAAAACTTATACATCAAAAGATACTGAAACACATTTTCCCTTCATTCATGCTTTGCTGACAACTAAGTTTTCTCCTAGTTGTTCAACACATACTTTTGTAGTTCAGCATGTACTTTTCATCACCATGGGTCAGAATTTGCTGTTAAGACAATTTCTATTTTCTAGTACAAATGGTGCCAGTTTCAGGTGATGGGTTGATATATGATTAAGCTCAAATCCCTCTAAGCTGCTCTGTCAACATTTTGGGTAAGCAGCAACTCACTGTCAGGCCCACCACTGACAAGCGCTAAATGTATATAAAGTATTCCAGAAGCCATTTTAACTTACAATCTTTAACTTTCTTAAACATCAGTCATAACCAGCTGACATTACCTGGACATGTTTGTAGTATTCACATGGTAGATATTACAATCATTGAGGAGGAGTAAAATGGCTTTCCCACTTTGCCCTCTCCTTGTTCGACTGCAACAGACTTGTTTGTAAATGTTATACTTGCCAAATCAGCGAGCATCTAATATGGTGTGATCATAAAAGAATCAATTGGATAGATTTTCTTGAATTTAGCAAAGAAAGTTAAGATTACTTTATTTAAACCAATTTAAGTAAAATAACAAAACATGCACCGACTTTCACACATATACACAAGATTATAGAGTGGGTAGGGATAGATTGAGGGTATACAGTGCATAAGTTTGATAACTCAATGGTTTTCTGCTTTCAGTATTGAGGCAGTTCTCCTGGAGAAACCACTGTGAGGAGTTCTTCCTTTAAAATCTCTGCTGTATTTGGAGGGAACGTCAAGCTGGGTCCAAAAACTTACAGGTTTGATGGACTGAGACAGAGAGACAGGAGGCAGGAGGCACCCCAATTAAGACTTCTTCCTCCACCTTTGTCCTCATTTTTACTTAGAAAACACATACTTTAAACATACAAAGGATTGGCTTGTCATGTGCCCTCCCTTTTCCAACTACCAGGGGATTAAAAAAAAGACAAGGGCAACATGATTTGCTCATGTCTGGAAAATAATTTAGCCAAGGTCCCATTGTCCAACCATTATCTTAATGGCCTGTCTCCAATTATTAAACACTTCAGATGATTGCCATAGATGCCTTTCAAAGGAGATGGGAATCCTTTAAACTCTCTTGAAGTTATTGTCTTGGATGGGTTTTGCTGACGCACCATTTCTATCTCAATGAGGATGGAATGTGGAGTGTACAGTAATGCAAATATAATGACTATCTTGGCTGAGTTCAAGGCATTAGCAGCCTTTTAAAAACATATTAAAAGTACGACTAATATTTCCAACTAGTAGATTAAAAATCATTATTTTGCATTAGCCTAGCTTCATTACATTAATTATAGGAGTGTTATATTTGTCAGGTTTTGAAATTTTCAGGATTTTTTAGGCCAATTTTTAAACTTTTTTCTCACCTTTCTTTCTTTTCTCATTCTCTACTTCTCCTTTTGTATCTTTGACATTGAATTCTAATTCATCACCTTCTATCCTTCACCATTTATTTCCCTATCCTGATTAGTTATGGAGACAACATATTGGTTGCTATGTTCACTCAGGTCCTAAAAACCCTGCTTCCCTCACTGTGTTATCAGATTGTACATTCCTGTGGGTAAACATTCTTTGACTTGAAGGGTGAAGAGGCAAATATTGACAAATACCCAATGGCAGTGTTCACCTGCAGCAAATTCTAGCCCAATGGTCATGATATAATAACTATAATTCTGATTCACACTGGTAGAACATAGGAGCCCATTTTTTGAAAGTAGTTGCTGGCATCTGACATCAGATCCAAGCATCAAAAAAATACAGCAACAATTTAAATTATTCATTCTATAAATATCACTAACAATTGTTACTGGTAAAAACGTGACTAAAAAATATAAAAATTCACAGATACTAAATTAGGATGTGTCACAAACATGATTAATGTGAGAAAAAAAATATGGCAGGGGAGGGCAGTGAGTAGATACATTTTGTAAATGTAGTTCAACATATATGGATGTGCACATGAATATGAGTTAGGAGTAGGTTCCTTCAGCTTGCTCTACCATTCAGCAAGATCATGACTGATTATACATATGTCAATATCTATATACGTTTACCAACATATTGGGCAAAATACTCCCGCAGGGGATCTGGATCAGAGAATGAGACCCAGATTTCCAGTGGATTATCAAGAATGGCAACCAGGTGGTCAGCAGTCAGGTCAACTGCAAGCTCATGCTCCTACAATCAAAATTTGTCAATCAAAGCCAATGATTAATATGATAAAGGAACAGGAGGGCAACTGTAACAGATGAGGAAAGAATATTGGATAGGAGCTGGCAGCTAAAATACTCATCTCCCCTTTCCTCACAATAAAGAACAAACAAACTTTTGGGTCTCTGACAACAACATAAAATGTGATCAGAAAAAAACTGGCATTTATGCTGGAGCTGAAGTGGGGGAAAGGAGGGCAAAGGGGAGAGGTGAATGGATAGGTGGAACTGGAGCCCAGCAAGAGAGAGATATGAAAGGGGTAGGTAAACAAGAACATAATGGATAGCAGCCAGGACAGAAGAAAAGCTAACAAAGAAATAATAAGAGCCAAGTGTGAGAAAATAGGTTACGTGATAATGGGACTAGGAGTATGTGGGAATAGGTGACTGTGTTAAAAGAAACCCATATCACAACAAGACTGGGGATGGGGTGGCTTAAAAAAAATGGAAGGATGGAATCAGGCTCTAAAGTTTTTGAACTGAATATTGAGTATTAGAGGCTGCAGAAAATGAGATGTTGCTCTTTGAGCTTGTGCTGAGGCCCTGTGCAACACTGCAGCAGGCCTCTACTGACATGATCAGTATGTGATCTGCAGTGTTTGGTATCTGATGCTCAAAATCAGAAAAATATAATTGAGCTTCAGATTGCTGGAATTCATGCCTTTGGAATTAGTTTTAGCAACTAAACAAAAGGCAAGGATGTGAGATTCAGATCCGTTTCCAAAATGGACAGCAGCACACATTGACTGAGCAAAACAGATGATAAGTGTGCCAAAATTAGCCAAAGTCTGCAAGATGACATAGACATCTCTCTCTTTCAGTGGACTGCATGCAATAATCTGTTGACAGACAGATAGGCAAGCGGTTAAAGCTTGAAGACACCACTACATTTGCAGGCATGGCTAACCAGGAATTTCTCCGACTCTCAGTGCCTGTCGTGGGGTGGATTGGAAGGATTATCAACCTGTTCTCTGGCTCTTTCCATGGCCAACAGGTCCTGGAGGAGGAATTGAACTTGGAGCTTCTAGTTTAAAGGCTGGGGCACTATACCCTGTGCCAAAGGTCCTCCCTAGATGGATGAGTAGAGCATTTCAATGGATAGAAAATGTTAGAGGTGCCAGCTGTAGCTTGTAGGTTCTACTCTCACATCTTAAACAGCACGTCCCAAACCGGTGACCTCTACCACCAAGAACGAGAACAATAGATAACAATAGATGCATGGGAACAGCGCCACCTGCAAGTTCCCTTCCAAGTCACACAACATCCTGACTTGGAAATATATAGCTGTTTCTTCACTGTCACAGGGTTAAAATCATGGAGCCCTCTCCCTAACAGAGTGTATTTACACCACATGGACTACGGCAGTCCAAGAAGGTGGTTGACCACTACCTTCTCAATGGCAACGAGGATTTGGCAACAAATGCTGGCCCAACAACAATATCATTCCATGACTGAATAAAGAAAAATAATGGGCTCAAGTTCTTCTCCAGAAGTTTATGTACATAATACAATCTTAATTCAGTACTGAGGGAGTGCAGCACTCTCAAAGATGCCATGTTTTGGCTCGCTTGAGGGTTCTGCTTTCTTCGGTGCAACTTGAAAACCACTATGTTGAAGAGCAGGGGAATTCTCCCTGATCTGCTGGTCAACATTTATCCCTGGACAGACTACATGCTCATTTTCACAGTGGCATTTGTTCGAGTCTTCTGTGTGCAAATGAACTGCTCCATTTCCAACATTATAAAATATTGATTTACAATAAAACACATTGTGTCATCTTCAGGATGAGAAAGGAGATTTTAAAAAAAAAAGTCTTTCTTCCAAAAAAAGGATTAGGAAATAAAAGAAAAAAATTGGGAGGGGTAGAGGAGATGCAGGGCTTCATTTTGTAAAGTTTTCATTTAAGCTTCAGTTATGGATTAATAACCAGTAATAAAAACTGCTCATACCAGCTGAACTATTTTATTGCTTTAATAATCCTACCCTACATTGAAAACAAAATAAAAACAACAAAATATAATTGGTCAAAGAAATCTGGGATCCCCATGAGCTGCCAGCAGTTTCCAAAAATTAAATGGAAACAAAATACAATCTTCTGAATTCCCTCTACTGCTATATAGACATTCTTCTCAGTCAACATAGAGAAGCTCAGAAAACAAATCGACTATTTGAATTTGTTTTCCTCATTGAACTATTTGGTGCCGAAGTTAACACTATTTTAACTGCGACAAACCTTTTGCTCATGTGAAAGTTAGAATGGGAAAGATAGTTGGACAAAAATTCACTTAAGTATAATTACTTTAGTGCAGGAGAAATGGCGCTAAGTTCTTTGCTAACTATGCTAGGAGAGATTTTGACAGTGTAATACCTGGCAAAAAAATTTAACAATTCAGGCTGATGACTGGCTCCTTGATGGGCCACATTAAACGCAAATGGTGATCTTTAACCAAGAGATCCCAAAGAGATACTTTGTACAACTACACAAGAGAAACTATCTGCATTTCCCATCATTTCCAGGTACTAAGAAGTCCATTTCTCGTTCTACATTTGAGACAGAATCCAGCTCCTGGGATCAAGCTTTGCTTTAATGGATCTTTTCTGACGGTGAGGAGGCACAGGTCTATCAGGCTGGTCCAACTTAGTTACTACCTGGGCCACATCTTCAGCCTGATTTGCTGACCGTTGTCTGGGAGGAGCCAAGACTGTTGTATCATCCAGGGAAGAGGGCAGTTCAGACCCTACATCAGAAAGACATGGGACTCTCCAGGTGTTCTCTTTCTGGCACCGTTCTGGGTGGAGGTCCCCTAGATGGAATGGCTGTTTTCCCACAGGTGGAGGGGGTGCCGGCCTCTTCTTGGCTTTCCCTGGTGATATTAGGGCAAGCTTGTTGCTGCCATCTGGTGTCAGGACATTTCTCTGGACAACTATGTCATGGCTGCCATCAAAAAGGGCTGCCCACCGAGGGGGCTCAGATAGCTCCTGCTTAGTGAACAAGAACTCTCCATCTGTCTCCTGGATTCGATTCCGGATAATATCCACCAGACTCTCATCTTTCTGAGGAGACTGCACATCTGTAAAACATGTGACAGAGCCAATTACAATACCAGTGGTGGGAAGGAGTTTCAACTTAGTTTCAGGTCAACATAACAGGCTGATAATCTGAACAAACACTTACCTGAAAAAAATTTGTAGGTTTGATATAGATGGTGGACGTGACATGAAAGTGTGTGTGAGAGAAAGTGCATGCAAGAAAGTGTGTGTGTCTGAAAGAGAGTGAGAGTGTGTGCATTGCAAGAGTGAATGTGTGAAAGAGAGATGGTGCATGATGGAGTGGGAGAGACAGTGTGCGGGTGGGGGTTGAAAGAGAGAAAATACACATGAGAACAAAGAGCGAGCACACATATGAGGGGATTAGAGAAAAAGTGTGGGAGCAAGCAAGTTCAAGAGATGTGTGTCAGATATGATGGTAATATGGGGGGGAAGAGAGAGAGAAAATGAGCACAAGTCGTGATGTGAAAGAGAGAGAACAAGGAAGAGCAAAAGAGAACAAACATGCGTCGGGGATGAAAGAGAATACGTGTGGAGGATGTGAGAGAGAGAGAGAAAGGGGAAGAACGAGAGAACAGGAGGAGGAAAGATGGACAGAACACAGGGTGTGCAAGAAATTCATATTCAGACAGAGAGAGCTAGCAAGACAAACACAGTGAAAGAGAGCACCATGGAGTGACGGGGTTTGGGGGCTGCAGGAGGAGGATGTGTGAGCAATGAAGCCAAGGAATTAAATAAGGGATAGGGCCAGATGTGGGGAGACAGAGGGAGATTGAGATTATGGTGGGGTGAAGGGAAGAAAGGAGAGAAAGCAAGGAAATGTAGCTTTGATGGAGGGAATTAGCAAGCTCAGTGGGGTAAAGACGAAGTGTTGAGGGGGAATGAAAGAGGGAGAGGGGCACGAAAATAGTGAATAAAAAATTTTATACATCTGCCCACAAGCAAAATCAGGTCTGCTCAACATGTTCAATATAATTTTTATGTGTTCATGTTCTGCTGATGTCATCAGTTTAAACTCCCAGAGGACCTTAACTGCTTAAAGATTCAATTTCCAGAGCTATTGAGAAATCACCACGTATGGTATAAATTGTTTTAAATTGTGTGAAATAACTTTCATTAAGTATTTGAGCATGTGGTTATAACAAGTTGTGAAAGTATTTTTCTGACGTTTCATTTCCTCTCTGTTCAGTAGTTTACCTGAATCATAAAGTGTAGACAGATTGTGACTCACCAACAATGCTGGGAATTATGATTAGCTACCACATAACATCAAATATCCCATGATGGGAATCAGGCCATATATGGTAACAGCTGCAGGAAGATGGTGTGGATTATTCATGGTACTTTGTGTATTTCTTTTCCTCTCAGTCTTCCAAAACATTGCATAAACCATTAAATTGCTCGTGGTGAACTTTTATAAAAACAGAGTTATGTGGGAAATAGCATTACACATATTTTATTAATAACAAATATTTCAGTTTAGAAATATTTACAAGTACTGACATGTCATTGCATCTGGATCTGTCATGTGATATAAAAATGATGGTGCACAACTCCACCTAGTGTTGAGACTGTAAATAACAGCAATATTTTTACAAAGACATTTTCAAAACAGAAAGTCTTTGATTACAGATAGGATTGTCTTAAAGAATTGTAAGGATGATTAAGAACATGGGATTTAGTCATACAATAAATATAAAAAAGGCAGCCTTATAGATTTGCCAGTGTGTATTGACATCACAGTGGATGAGTTGGAAGCGTACTGTACCAGACAGAGGTCAATTAAATCGAACATTGAACAGGGAACAGAATTTGATTTCTTCAGAGGCCTTCATGCAGACATAGCATGCATGGTAGCAAGTGAAAAGACAACCCATCTTTTTCTGTATGTTACAATTGATTACAAGCTCCAATTTGGCCTCTTGTGTATCCTCAATGTTTACAGTCATTGGCATTTACCTTCAGCTGCCAAGTCTCTGAAATCTACAAAACTCTCTTTAAACATTTCCATCCCTCTACCATTCTCTACTTCTTTTAAACTTACGTCTTTGATCTCGCATTTTGGTTCTTAACAATTTATTGATGCATCTGTCCATGGTAATATTGCTATGAGTGACTGCTGTACAGTCCTTGCGGAGACAAAGTTCCATTTTCACACCGAGGACATCCTCCAGCACGTTTTGTGACACTACCGTCATTCTAAATAATATATTCAGAATAAAGTTGGGTATTCATGAGGCACTGTGGGCCATCAACCACAATCGGTAACCTCATGGCTGGGCATGTTCCCACCCAACCAGAGATACTAACTCTGGTTCAAAGAAGTGTGCATGAGAGCATGCCAGGAACAGCACTGTGTACATCTAAATATGTACCTGGAGAAGCTATACAGGACGCCAATAGCAGAAATAATATGTAAAAGACAAAGCAAAGCAATCCTTTCAACAGAATTAGATCAAAGCTCCAGAGGTCCTCATTCATTTAGCCTTGCATGGGTTTGCACAATGAAACAACAAACTGACGGGGGTAATTTCACAAGCATCTCCATCTTCTTTGACAAGGCTGAAGCATTCGTAATCATCTTCAACCAGAAGCGTAGTCCACTTTGGCTTGCTCCTGAATTATTCAGCATCATAATTTCCAGACTTCAGCCAATTTGTATTAGTCCAAATGATATCAACGGTTGAGTGCACTGGTCACAAAAAGACGATGAACTCTTGATAACATCCCTGCTATAGAAGTGAAGACCTGTGCTCCAGAACAAAATGCGCCCCTAGCCAAACTATTCCAGGACAGTTAAGACACTTGTACTTTCAATATGGAAAATTGCCCACGCACATCCTTTCCACAGAAAGCAGGACAAGTTGAAGTCAAACAATTACTGCCTTATCAACCTGCTTACACATATCAAAAATGCAGTGAGACATAATAACCAATAACCTCCCCAACAGGACCACATGTACCAAACTTCATTCCAACTATGATCCATACATTCCAGAGATGAGGTGAGTGACATCAAGACAACATTTGAGCAAAGGCACGATAAAAGAACAGGAATTACACCCAGCACAAAGAAAGATGCTCTGGCTCAAAACATAAATGCAGAAGTTCCTCAAGACAGGTGCCCTAAGCTCAACCATCTTCAACTGTTTCATCCACTATTAGATATAAAGTGAGGATGTTTATTGATGATTGCAAAGTGTTCAATGCTTTTTCGCTGCTCCAGATACTAAAGCAGTCCATGACTGAATCCAGCAAGCCTGGACAATATTCAACTTGGGGGCAGATAAATGGCAAGTAGCATTCACATTAGACAAGTGCCAGGCAATCTAAGCATCTCCCCATACCATTCAATATCACCACCATTTAAGAATCCCCCACTATTAACATCCCAGGAGTCACCAATAAATAGAGACTTAACCAGATCAGCCATTAGACCACTGTAAGAGCAGCTCAGATGCAAGAAATTCTGCAACAAGTAGATTCCCTAAAGCCTGATCACCATCTACATGTTATGGAACACTCTCCACTTGCCTGCACTTTTGTAGCTCCAGCAACACTCCAGTAGTTCAACAACATCCAGTACAAAACAGCCCATTTGATTGGCACCCCATCCAGCACCTTCAACATTCACTCACTCCCACTCTCACCAAGACCCCTTTAACAGCATCTCCCAAACCAGTGATTTCTACCATCTAGAAGACAAAGGCAGCAAATGCAAGGGAACATCACCTGCAAGATCCCCTCCAAGTCACATTCCACCCTGAATTGTAACAATATCATCACTCCTTCAATGTTGCTGGGTCAAAATCCTGGAAATCTCTCCCCAGCAGCACTGTTGATTTACCTACACCAGACAGACTGCAGTATTTAAGAAGGTGGCTCACCACTGTATATTCAAGGGTAATTAGAGAATGGCAATAAAGTCTGCCCATCCTGCGTCACTCATATTCCATAAATATATGAAAATAAATTAAAAACCAGTGCCAAATATTGTACGTGTTTTTCTTAGAGATGAACAATTAAGGCCTTAACTTAAAAGAACACCAAAGTCAAAAAAGGAGTTAAGGAACAATGCAGTATAAAAGTTACAATGAAGTACAATATTCATTCTGGCAGATTTCAAAGAATGTGCCTTGGATGTGATAGATAGGCAATAAAATGAAATATAAATCAGTCATACACAGACCATATTAATAAAACTGAAAACAAAGTGTAAACCCAAGGAGTGTATTCAAAAACACTGACATTTCCCAGCAGTTTGCAGTCATAGATTTTAGTAACCCGACCCATATTAAAATTCACATCACTGGATTCCATCATTGCTGGTTAAATCATGCATCTTCAAATTATGCACGGAGTAGCATTTTTTGTTTTATATATGGGAACTATTTGAATTTCAAACAATGATTCTTTTATTACAAGGCCACATTTAGAAAGGCAAGGGCCACTTACTCATATCGTCGTAGACTGAAGTGGCTTGTTTTGTGAGGAATAAAGGTGGTTTCCGTGGTGACATAATCTCAATTTTCATAAGCTCTTTGCAACAATGCTTCCACTGGCCTGAAAGTTAAAGCACAGCCATTGCTGGAATTTTAAAGAAATATTAAAACAGACTCTCTGTTAATAAGAATCTGGGAATTTTCCAATGCTACAGTATTTATTAAGGAAAGAATTACATTCGACAAGCAGAAACCATAAACAATTCTCAAGCGTTTAAAATGAGGTTTTCAGAATGACCTGCCTGTTGGAAACTGTAAATTGAATTACATTGATCAGACAATCACAAAGCTTTCATTATAATGAAAATAAAAAAAAGCTTCTCAGGAAGTTAGTCCTGCTCTCTAATCTCTTACTAGTTTAATAACTAAAATGAATATTATAGGAATTACAGGACAGAATGTGGCCATTCTGCCCAATGTGCCTGTTACTGTGCCTTTGAAACTTCAGATTCCTACAAATTTGCAAAAAGAAGGTCATTCAGCCCCTCAAGCTTTCTCTTGCTTCTTTGCAGCTGTAACTTTGTATTCCTCACTTTGTTCAATCACCCTATGATCTTTGTGTCTTTGTATGTTATGATCTGCTGTACTGCACACAAAACGAAACTTTTCATTGTACTTAGGTACACATGACAATAAAAAATCAAATCAAATCTGCAATTTGAAAATGGCTGATTTATACCTCGACTTTGTTGTCTCACCCTTTTTCCATATCTCAGATAACATAAAGTCATTTGGTCCATCATGCCCACGCCCATCATCAAGTACCTATCTACTCTAATTCCATCTTCCAGTACTTAGCCTATAGCCTTGTATGCAACAGTCCCTCTAAGCTCTGCATATACACAGTTATTTATGAGGTTTTGCACACAATGATCAGCGTAGGCCTGGGAATTGCAGCACCAACTTCCAGTTCCGGAAGTCACCTCTGTGCATGGACCTTGGAGGCTCTCACAGCCATAAAGAAAATGACAGGGAACACTGCTTGCATGCTGCGGAATTTCAAGTGTTTGTCTAATACTTCTGAAAAGTCGAGAGAGCTTGTGCCTCTTCCAGCCTTTCAGGGAATGCGTTCCAGTCATCATCCTCTGGGTGAAAAAACGATTCCCTCAAATCCCTCGAAAGCTCCTGCCTTTTACCTTACCCATTAGTAGAGGGGTCAATAACTAGGAGACAAGTTTCTTCCTATTATACCCTATCTATGGCTGTTATGACTTTGCATACCTCAATCAGGTCCCCCCTCAGCCTTCTACATTCCAAGGAAAATAACCTAAGCCTAGTCTCCATAGCTGAATCACTCCAATCCAGGCCACATCATGGTGAATCTCCTCATCATCCTCTCTACTGCAATCACATCCTTCATCATAACCTCCCTGTTCTTGTATTCAATTCCCTGACAAATAAGCTAAGTATCCCTTATGCCTTTTTAATAATCTTATCTACTTGTCTCACTGCCTTCAAGGATCTATGAACATGCACACCAAGGTCCCTCTAATACTCTGCATCTCGCAGGATCCTACCATTATGTACTCCCTTGCCTTGTTAGCCCTCCCAAAATTCGTCACCTCACACCTTTCAGAACGAAATTCTATCGCCTCTGTTCTTCCTATCTGACCAGTCCATCCATTGTCCTCAGAGATAGTAGGAACTGCTGATGGTGGAGACTGAGATAACAAGGTTTGGAGCTGGAGGAACACAGCAGGCCAGGCAGCATCAGAGGAGCAGGAAAGCTGACGTTTCGGGTCTGGACCCTTCTTCAGAAATGGGGGAGGGGAAGGGGGCTCTGAAATAAATAGAGAGAGGGGGGAGCAGTGATAGAAGGTGGATAGTGGAGCAGATAAGTGGGCGAGAAGACGGACAGGTCAAGGAGGTGCGGATGAAGCTAGTAAAAGTGACTGTAGGTAGGAAGTTGGGATGGGGTTTGGTCAGTGAGGCGGGAGGGGCGGGTAGGTGGGAGAGAAGACGGACAGGTCAAGGAGGCGGGGATGAAGCTAGTAAAGGTGAGTGCAGGTAGGAAGTGGGGATGGGGGTTGGTCAGTGAGGTGGGAGGAGCGGATAGGTGGGAGAGAAGATGGACTGGTCAAGGAGGCAGGGATGAGGGTGGGGAGCTGGTCTTGGGATGAGGTTGGGGGTGGGGAGAATTTGAAGCTAATAAAGTCCACATTGAGACCTTTGGGTTGTAGGGTTCCAAGGCGGAATATGAGGTGCTGTTCCTCCAGTTTCTGGGTGGCATCATTGTGACACTGGAGGAGACCAAGGATGGACATGTTGTCCAGGGAGTGGGAGGGGGAGCTGAAGTGGTTCGTGTCTGGGAAGTGTTGTCATTTGTCGCGAATTGAGCATAGGTGCTCCGCAAAGTGGTCTCTGAGCCTCCGCTTGGTTTCTCCAATGTAGAGGAGGCCACATCGGGAACAGCAGACACAATAGACCACATTAGCGGATGTGCAGGTGAACATCTGTTTAATGTGGAAGGTTTTTTTGGTGCCTGGGATGGAGGTGTAGGGGCAGGTGTAGCACCTCCTGCGGTTGCAGGGAAAGGTGCTGGGGTTGGTGGGGCTACTGGGGACTGTGGAGCGGACGAGGGAGTTGCGGAGAAATTGGTCCCTCCGGAAGGGAGATAAGGGTGGGGAGGGAAATATATCCTTCGTAATGGGGTCAGATTGCAGGTGGCGGAAGTGGCGGAGAATGATGCATTGAATCTGGAGGTTAATAGGGTGATACCCCATCCATTGTCCTGCAGTCTAAGGCTTTCCACCTCGCTTTTTACACCACAATCAACTTTTGTGTCTTCTGCAAACTTACTGATAATACCTCTGACATTCATATTTATCCATCAACCTCAATTTTGCTTCCCCATTCCTTCCACTTATCTTTTTATATTTTTACTTATCAATACATAATCATTTTATGTCAAGATGCAGTCAATACCGAGACCATGCTACCACTTCAAGGCTCCAGTATGAAAATATGCCGTAATCATCATGTTTACATAGTAAATATCTATTATAAGTTATCGCAATGGCATTTTGTTGACGTAAAAAAAGGCATGGATCAAAAATCCTGAAAGCAAAATCACACGGATAGAAACTTTTAAATACTTGTCGATCTCACTTGTTGCTGGAAGAAAACGAAAGGGTAGGTGCTAACTTTCGATCAGATCATGTTTAATTAGTCTTTGATAAGTAAGTGGGACTCACTCTCGTTTTAAATTCATAGATTCTATCTTAATTTTATTATTTGCATGACCAAGTTCCTGGGCAATTTTGATTTTGGTCAATGGTGTAAAGCAGGAAACCTCATTGGGTCAGAAAATTCAGCAGGGTGCATATGGATAGTCGATCTGACTGTGGCCCACTTATCAACGCCCAAAGCCAAAATGAACCCTTTGGGTACCGCAGATCTAAAGCCTAATGCCTTAGTGTTATCCCCTCCTTCCTTACCATTCCACGTCACAAATTATGCTCTTTACACAATTTTCTTAAAACAAGTAACCGAATTTTCATTTGAGGTAATCAATAGTATCTGTTTACCTGAGGAGCTTGTTTCATGGATTGACCACTCTTCATTAAATAGTGTTTTAACAGTTTCATTTAGTGTTCAACTTCCTTCTGGAACTGGCCATATTAGGCAAGAACCTGGGGCTGGACTATTAAGGACAACATCTTTGTGATAATGAGCTGGTGACCCAGTTTGATCCTCTCACAAGCTACAAGGGGAACAAGATGGCTGATAACCTTCCACCTGCTAAGTCTACTAGAAGTAAAGTAGTGTCACTTGAATTATAGGAGTAAATGATTGAGTAAATCTTATGGCGAGTGACTCGGAGACCAACTTAGCTTTGAAAGCAAGAAATGCATTGTTGGTGATTAACTTGCAGAGTGGCAGAATTTGAATTCTTGTCTATTCAGTATGTATATACAATGGATCTGCCAACAATCAATAGCTTTTGGCATTGCTCTCTGCCAACTTACTTATATCACCAATGTGCTGCCAGAAAGCTTCCATCCACTGCTGTAGATCATCTTTACAGTCTGCAGCAAACACGCGACTAGCTGTCTCACCACTGTAGGGGTTGATGAGAGAGAAGCAGTGCGTCCTTATCCTTGAACCTTTGCCCATGGCACGGATTCTTGTTTCCTGCAAGTTTGAGTTACAATAGATCAATATTACAATAGTTAGAACAGTTTTTTCAATTCGATCTGGCCAGTAGATGAATAACTTACACTTATAAACTGCCTTTAAAATAGTCAAAAACTCCACTAAAGAGTATTAGACAATATTTGGCACAAAGCCAAATGCAGCCTTTAAGTAGGAAAGGTGCACAGAGGTTTAGGAAGGCAATCTTAGAACTCAGGACCCAGTCAGCTTAACACACAGTGACCAATGGTGGAACAATGAAAAATTGGGGGTTCACAAAAATGAGCCGAGTGAGGCAAACATGATTATATTTGGTCTCTTTGTGCTAGTGCAGGTATTCCAATTCTTGTCTGTGTCAGTGACCCTATGTTGGTGTATTTGTGCACACATCACTGTATGGTTCCTGGGCAACCAAAGGATTGTATTTAAAAGTGAACAGCCCAATGACATTCTCCAAATAAATTTGAATAAATAGATAAACAAATAAATGAAAAAAGTGTATTCAAGGGAGGAGGAAAACAACAGCATTCATTTCCAATAGCATTGTGAGGTTATAACAATGAGAGTTGTGCAACTATACAAATGTAAAGTATTGTGAATTGTGATAACAGAACGAGCTCTACAACAAAATGAACCTAGCCATCTTCAAGTTATATCAGTAGACATAACCAGGAGCTAAATTAATAAGGAAGGGAAACTTGAGGCTGACAATAGGAATATCATACTTGAGTCCCATACCGATCAGGAACTAGATTAGCTTCTTGCTTGTTTTAACTTCTAACTTTATGGCACCTTCTTGTAAAATGAGAACAGTAGAATAAGGAAGATTTCATACCTGTCAAACCTAAACTCTACAAAACCAGTAGGCATTCTGCCCATCAAGTCTATTTCGCTACTTAATATAATCATAGCTAATAGAACACTTCAGTGCCTTCATTATACCCACAGCCCTTTTTATGCAAGGGGTTGGTTAGCTAAGTTGGCTGGATGTCTGGTTTGCAATGCAGAGCTTTCAGCATTCAATTCCCACACTGGATGAGGTAACCATGAGGACTCTCCTTCTCAACCTTACCCTCTGCCTGAGGCGCATTGACCTTCAGGTTAAATCACCACCAGTCATTTCTCTTGAATGAGAAAGCAGCCCTATCATTTGATAGGACTAATGATGGCCTTATCTTTTAACCATTTATGCCATTGTTAATCAAAAACACGACCTCTATTTTAAATATACTGAAAGAGTGGTAAAAACCACTGATGCAATCAACCTTCCTATCATCACCATTGAGCAATTACTCAACACTTATCACACTTTGAACAATTGTTCGTGTCCTGGCCAACATTCCTTCCTGAAGTACCACATTATTTGGCAGCATCTGTGGAAAGAGCAAGAGAGTTACTGTCTTGCATCCAATGCAAAGAAGTTGTTCCAAAGAGTGACTGGACTTGAAACGTTAACTCTGTTTCTCTCTCCACAGATGCTGCCAGATCTGCTGAGTTTCCCAGCATTTTGTTTCTTTTAAAACAAATAGAAGTGAATTTGAGAAAATTAATTAACATTGGAAATTGATTAATCATGGACAAAATTCCTTGCACTAAACAAAAAAGTTTGCAAAACTGGAGGTCTCCATTGTCAGCAATTTTAAATAGGATAATGTAGATTATTTACTGTTAAATGGTCCAGCTTTGTTGGTAACATATGGGACAATAATTCCACCTCTACCTCTGCTCTCAGCGTTACTGCACCCAGCCAAGCAAGAAACTTCCTCACAACCAATAGAATAATACTGCACCTTATCAATAGCTATTTTCAATTTGGGATCCACTCGTGCCTCGATTTCTTCAGGAGAGTAATATACCGTGAGATAGCCACTTCTCAAGACACAGTATAGCCTCGTCCAGTTAGACTGGCCTCCTACCATTTGCTGGAAGAAAGATATGCAGCCTTTGAATGACCATTTACAAACAGTCTGCCACCCTCTCCCCCCATCATCTCCACTCTCCAGACTGACAGATTCACACTAATTAAAAATCAAGGCAATCAGTTCAAATTACTGAATACTCCTAAATATGTTCTGGGAATAAAGTGGTGTATCAATCTGTTTAGAGTGCACAGTGGATTGAGCTCCTAGATTCAAACAGCACTTCTGGGTTTCTTTCAATCTGAGCATCATAATATCTGAAAAGATGTCTTGCTCAGCTGTATTAGCAGATGAGAAGAGGTGGCAAACAAAAGATCTCAATTAACATGTGATATAACAAGGTGTAGAGCTGGATGAACACAGCAGGCCAAGCAGCATCAGAGGAGCAGGAAGGCTGACATTTCGGGCCTAGATCCTTCTTCAGAAAAATTAACATGTCTTGTTCGTTGTGAAGAGAGGAGTGAATCGGGTGTGGAAACAGCTAATGAAAGGACTCGATAATCTTTATTCTTTGTGTGGTAGTATTTACTTACAGAAGAGGCCCATTGTGGCTACACTTACTTGTGTTGCTTTAGGACAAAACAGGTTTCTTAATATGGCTAATAAAATGTGCAAATGATATCTTGGAAGACTTCAAACATCTAAAACTTACTTTGCCAGTACAAAATGCTTCACTCCTTATCAGTATAAATTTTATCTGTGGCAGTGAATACTTTGACAAATTATTTTTTATTTGCATGATCTGTCAGCACAAGTGGTATTTACTTGGAGGGATATCTAAGAGCTACCAGACAATAGAGGCATTCAATACTTTTAGGTTGTTTGAAACTGCTATTTACACTAAGTTCATCTACAAAGGGAATGGTGGTGCACGCAAAAAAAGTATTGAAAATCCAGTTTGACATGGTGAGTAAAATAATTGATTAAATGATGGAGACATTCATTTTGAAATTTGGATTTATTGAGTAGATAGAAACAACATGGAAAATAAATTAGCTCTGGGCTAGATACTGGAAAGATGCCCAGTGTTTTAAATTCAATTTTGTAAAAGTGGTTTCCTATTAAATACTGGGAAATCTGCCCCTTTTTCTTGTGTAACAGCTGATTTGCTGCCATTTTATTCCTCTTACCACAATAAAATCATAAACTGCCTCTAAGAGGTCAGTACCTCTCCGCCATCCCCAAGGCATTTCACTGTAAATAAGGTGTGATTATAACAGGGCCAGGAATGAGGAGGAATTTCTTCACTTAGATGACAGTGAACCTTTTGAATTCTTTACCCCAAAGGGCTCTGGAATGTCAGTCATCAAGTATGTTCAATGTAGAGATTGATAGATTTCTAGATGATATCAAGAAATGTAAGGATAGCATGGGAACGTGGCATTAAGTTAGATGATCAGCCATGATCTAGAATGGTGAAGCAAGTTCAAGGGTCTAACTATCTACACCTATGTTCTTATGAGCTGAAACATCACATCAGGGAAAGGTGGTGGGAATAGCTCAACAGCCTCTCAAAAACTGCCAGCCACTCTCAGTGAGGAGATATTTCTTCATCAAGAGACTGGTAAACCTGTGGAATTTTCTGCCACAGAAAGAGGTTGAGGCTGAAACATTGCATGTTTTCAAGGAATTAGATATAGTTTTTATGGATAAAGGGATCGACGAGTATGGAGAGAAAGCAGGAACAGGGTACTGAGTAGGATGATTAGCCGTGATCGTATTGAATGGTGGAGCAGGCCAAATGGCCTATTCCTGTTCCTATTTTCTATGCTTCCGCACGTGATTCTTAATCACTGTCAGAAGACCAAGGGCAGCAGTTAGTCACAGATGCATCAACAATCCAACTATACATGTGCATCAGCTGCATTCCCACTCACAACACAATTCAACAAAGATGACCTGCTAACTGTAGACATAGGGACAAGTTATTTTTTTACACAGAGAGTGGTTTGTGTGTGGAATGAACTGCCAGAGGAAGAGGTGGATGCAGGTACAGTAACAACATTTAAGAGACATTTGGATAAATACATGAATAGGAAAGGTTTGGAGGGCTATGGGCCAAATGCACACAAGTGGCACTAGTTCAGTTTGGGAACATGGTCGGCTTGAACTAGTTGGACCAAAGGACCTGTTCCCAAGCTGTATGACTCTATGACTTTATAAGTGGAAGAGTTGAAGATTTCTTCAGATGCCTCTTTGACAAAAGGAAAGATTTCCCAACTCTCATGTTCAATTCTGCTCCTGGGCCTGCCTAAGGAGGCAATCAACAGGTCCAGACAGCAGACCTTGGAGGGACTCATTGCTCCCAATTGCTTGTCTCTCTTCACTAGCTACGTTCCTTGAAGAGGGAGCACACAGTGTCCACCAACACTCTTGGAGAGAGGGATGGGCACCAAGATTGTCTCATTTCCCCCTCCAACTCCATTTGGATTTAGTTCCCTCCCCTTCTCCCTATCTTTCTCTCACTTTTGTTGTTGCTTTGCCACTATTCTTGTAAATTGACATTTAATTAGAAATTCAAGTGTTTTGGTGGTGATTAAAATAAAGTTCAGAGGTGTGTAAAAGTATCTCTGGATAGAAAGAAGAATTCCTTCAGATGCAGAAACTCTGTCCTAACTAGAGTAACTGGTATAGAGTGACAGATGTTTTTAAACAGCCGATTCATATATGTCATGACACACCTCTGAAGCAGGTAGGGCTTGAATCTGGCCTGCTGGTTCAAATTTCGGGACACTGCCATTACACCACAATAGCCCATTATAAATAGTGATAGGCTGAGTTCAATTACTGCAGAGTCACAATTGACCAGCTCATTGAATCTTTCCAAATGACAATAAATCACTCTGATGCATGAAAGGGGACGATAAGAATGAATGAAATCTGTCTCTGCACTGCATGTGACAATGGAGGTCACGACACTTAAAACTAGTGCTTGCCTCAATAAGAAAAATACTTCACCTGAACAGGTAATTCGAATAGCCTTTACAATTTGCTTTCGAAAATGAATCACCAATTCCACATGCTCACATTTGGCACAAACAAGATTAGTTGACTGTTTTAAATATACTCGAAGAATTCAATCAAAGCCAGCTGTTAGTAGTTTAGATAGAGGCTGTTGTTATGCTCGCTGGAGATGTGCTTTGAGTAACAATACGGACACAGTATGCAAATACTCTCCGGTAATCACATCTAACCATCTGTATACACACACATATCAGTTTTTCCTTAATTTGGCTTGTATTTTCTGGTGCTGTCTTGCAGAATATGTAGATTTAAATTGCTGATATGCAAAATTGAGATAATAAAGTTTTTGTGTTTAACCTTTCTTTCGTCTATTATAGGAGTTGTTGAGATTGCTCCATCATTTTCCCATTATCTACATGATGTAAGCAGCAATTTTAAACACATGCAGACCATGTTGCTAATAAAGGAGCTTAGTGACCTGCCGCTGACCCTAGCGAAATGCAACTGCAATAACAGTCCAAAATCAAAATCACATCATTCACCTGCATTCTCAGTTTCAATGCAAATTACTTCAACACAAGTCAGTGATAGCAGCCAGCGCAAGGATGCCAGGTTGGAGGCTGCTTTACTAGGTCTTTCCTATGATCAGACACCACTGATTGGTCAGCTTTAAAGCTGGCATAACCTGGCTGAGCAAGACTTTGCAAACAAGTATATAATCTGCACAACTACGTGCTCGACAGAGAGAACACACCACGTAATAGATGGAAGGAAACCACACTGTGAAGTAACTAATGCAGTGATTAGTTTAATGCCAGATTAGTTTAAAGCAACAGAATGATGTTTGTAGGAATTATGGAATTTACTGTGTTGTATATTCCAACAGTGACTACATTTCAAATATACTTCCTTGGCTGTAAAGCACATGGAGCATCTGGAAGACATTAAATATATTATGGGACTAGGCCGGATAAGTTTTTTTTGTTTTTGGCTTGCAGAAGCAGGATGAACTGAATGGCCACCTGTGCAGTGAATTTTCTTTATTTCTAAAAACCAAGAATATAATATGGCTACAGGGACTGGGGAGGCAGAAAGAGGCAAGTCTTTGTGAAGAAAATTGTGTGCAAAAGTCTATTTTATTTTAGTTGAAGGAAAGACAGCTGCTTTGTAATTCTCGTAACACTGAGAAACTGGTGAGATCAGAACAAAAGGGCCTGTTTGGAAACCATATGGATGAAATACCACTTCAGTATGCACACCAAGGAAGACTTGGAATGGGACAAGGAATCCAACCTATGGATGAGGTCACTCTTACCTCCAGATTGAGGTACCCAGTCATCACGTCCATGGTCATGCATGCTGGTTGAGCTACTAATCGGCAGCACAAATTTCCATATAAGGGCAACCAAAAAGAAGATTCCTCTAGAGAGCAAAACATGATATTCAAAATTACAATGGCTACACTTTCTACGTAATACCCTGGATCTACTGGAGAAACAGCTGGAATATTAGTCATTGAATAGATACCCAGAGCATTTGAATAAGATCTGGCCAGAATGATCTCTTTGATAATTTAGCGAACATAATGTCCGCAGGTTTATTTTATACTGTTCAAATTTAGACAGCCAGTGTTCCCACAGGAGACAGTCAGAAGTGGAACAAATTTTAAATCGGAGACCTCCAATGCACTCTGCCCTCCAAACCATGTCTGAATGAGTCCGGTCTATCACTTTAGTACTTGTACCATTTGTAATTCATAGGCAGTACATTGTCTCAAATGGCCAGGTTAGGCCATGACCTAAATGGATCAGGAAGGGAAATCTGAAAGCAAATCCGTAACTTTATGTTCCTCAGATGGAAACACTTGGAAGGTTTCAGTCTTAACTTGCAGTCCTTGCATCTGGCTGAACTGCTAAAATGTCTTTGACACGAAAGTCAATTCCTCCATTATTCAGACTATTGTTAATATTCAATAATTCCTACAAACCCATACCATAATCGTAAATGACAATACATTCTATATGCTTAAAGCAAAGAGACTCACTATCACATTCCACCCTTGACTAATGGCAAGAATAGACTTATACGATTTCAACACCGTATCTTGTGCTGACAGTAGAGGAAGTGAAGATTTAAGGTTTACTTTGACAGCAGCTCCAAACCAATGACCTCTGCCATCTAGAAGAATATGATCAGCGGGCAAATGGGAACACCATCACTGAGTCACACATTATCTTGGACTTAGAACTATAAGCACCGTTCCCTTTCTTTCATTGGGTCAAAAAGCCCTTGCTAAATGCGCTGTGGGTGTATTTACAGGCAGCAGTTCAAGAAATGCAGCTCACCATCACTGTCTTCTCAAAAGCAATTAGGGATGGATATTACATTGACTGGCACTGGCACTGAATGAATAGAATAAGAAAGCATGGCTATTCAAAACAAATGGTCTACCATTTTTCAGTAAGAACACAAAAGCTTAATTAAATTGTGTTAAACACTCATCACTCATTATTCACCTTGTTCTGGGGAAAAAGTACTTTAAACAATCTTTGAAAAAAAATTCAATTGCCTAAGTATGCAGTTTGCAATAAAATGTAAAGTTAAATGCACACTCCAATAGACCTAGCTGCCTACTATCTATCAGTGTTTAAATTATCATTAATGTCAGCTCTCACTGAAATAGTTTCAATCAATGTATGTAAAATGTACTTAGATAATGTTGCCAAGCATCCAGGTTTGTCCTGGAATCACAGAGGATTATGGGTTAATACTTGTAAGCAATCCACGAGGAAAAAAAAGTGAAAAAAGAAACCATTTTGTTGAAGATTAATGCTTCCTTTAGTTATAAAATTATTAGAGATGGCACAATGGACTGTTTGACAATCAATCATTATTCCATCAAGTAACATGGAATCTGCTCACTGATGGACCAAGAAACCAGAGTACCATGAGGATTAGAGAATTAACAGCACAGAAAAAGGCTACTTGGCCCAACTGGTGTTTATGCTATAGAGAAGTGTCCTCCCACACTAATCATCTGTACATTCAACACACCTTCCTAAACGTTCCTACCTCATGCACTTATTTATCTTCACCTTAAATGGATCTATTCATTTTAACAATCCACATGGTAGAAAGATCCATATTCTATCCAATCTCTGGAGAAAGGAGGACTGCAGGTGAGGTTACAACGGCAGACTGTAGGGTTGGCAGCTGGAGGAAGGGGATAATGCAATGAATCCTGCTAGAATTCATTCAATCAGAAATGGTGACGATGGGCTTAGTTGGTAACACATAGCAATAAATGTCTTGTAATTGTAAAGTGAGGTGCACTCACCATTTCCCAGGATGGTGAGACTGTGAGTTCGGAAACTGTCTTCAACATCATCAAGTTTAAGTGTGGCTTCTGCAAGCAGAAAATATTTGGTACCACTGGTTGGGGTGGGGAAAGAGCACAATATTACTCGACTGTAATATCTACAGAGCACTCAAGCCAAAACTGCAGACAAATATCAGATTACACACATTCAACAAACTTTGTTAGCTGCAGAACAATGAGATTACTAGGCCAAATAAGACAAAAATTAATTTAGTTGACCTTAAATTAATGGAGTTGTTGAGTAAGCACTGTGATCAATCTCTGTCAATGAGTCAGATATGAAGCAAGGAAACCTAGAGCTGTGGAGAGCTTTCAGGCCACCAGTAAACTCTCAAACATGCCAGAGTTACCCTGGGTCCTATCTTCCTGATAATGTAACCATGGAATAAACATCTCAACTAAACAGCTACTAGATGCAGTTTCTAGCTTTAGTTAGTCGCAACTTTTGTTTCCTTTTCATTTTCCCCCAGCTGTGCATCAATAAAGTGATTGCAAAGAATCAATCAACATTGTCACAACGCCAAAAGAGAGAGGGCAGAAAGATATTTTCTAGACTGATTTGTTGGTCAAGCTCTGGGATATTAAATTTACTAGATCTGGGCTGTGAGAGGACAACATAGACATTCCTATGAGGAAGTGATTCGTTGGTCAGGAATTGGAGGCAGAATCTGGTTCCATGACGCTAGTCTTTGAACACTACCTTTAAATTTTGATGGTCAGGGCAAGGGGAACGATGGAGGTTTGGGGACCAATATCAAGGGTGCTCATCTGGGGAATTTCCTAGGGAACACTAGCCATTCCATACTTTAGAGTAACCCCTGCCACCTTGGAACGAGTGTGAGCGCTCTCAAGATTTCAAGATGTAAAGCACAAATTCCAGACGGGATCCAAATACACTATTGATTTGGCTGCCTTGGTGCACTGAAAGCAGAATTCTGGTCCCTTCTAGAGTCAATGAGTTCCATGCAGGCTTTCCAAAGAACTCCATCCTCATTAAACCATAAGACATAAGAGTAGAATTAGGCCATTCGAGTCTGCTCCACCATTTGATCATAGCTGATATGTTTCTCAACCCATTCTCCTGCTTTCTCCCCATATTCCTTGACCCCCTTACTAATTAAGAACGTATCTTGTCATGAAGACACTCAATGAGTTGGCCACCACAACCTTCTGCGGCAATGAATTCCACAGATCAACGACCCTCTGGTGGAAGAAATTCCTCCTTATCTCAGTTCTAAGGGGTCGTCTCTTCACCTTCAGGTCCTAATCTCTCCTACTAGTAGAAACATCTTCATGTCCACTCTATCCAGGTCTCTCAGTATTCTCAAAGTTTCAATCAGATCCCCCTCACCTCTCAAAACTCCATCCTTTTCAGATCTAGAGTCTTCAATTGCTCCTCATATGACAAGCCCTTGATCTCCATGATCATTCTTGTCAACCTCTTCTGAACCCTCCCTAGTGCCAACGCATCCTTCCTTAGATACAGGGCCCAGAACGGCTCACAATATTCGAAGTGTGGTCTGACCAGAGCCGTATAGAGCCTCAGCAGTACATTTTTACTCTTGGTTCTAGTCCTCTTGAAATGAATGCTAATATGCATTTGCCTTCTTAACTGCCGACCGAACCTGCATGTTAACCTCGAGAGAATCCTGAACTAGGACTCCTAAGTCCCTTTGAACTTCGAATTTCTAAAGCCTTTCCCCTTTTTAGAAAATAATCTACAGCTCTATTCTTCCTACCAAAGTGCTTAGTCTCACACTTTCCTACATTGTACTCCAGCTGCCACTTCGCTTTTCATTCGCCCAGCCTGTCCAAGTCTTTCTGCAACCTGTCCATTTCCTCACATTACCTGTCCCACCACCTATCTTTGTCACCCACAAACTGAGCAACAATCCCCTCAGTTCCTTTATTCAGACTAATGTATAACATGAATAATTGTGGTCCCAACACTGAGCCTTGTGGAATTCTATTAGTCACTGGCTGCCATCTTGAAAATATCCCTTTATCCCCACTCTGCTTTCTGCCAGTCAGACAATCCTCTATCCAAGCTAATACCTTGTTGCGAGCACAATGGGCTGTTACCTTATTTAGTAGCCTCCTGTGCAGTACCTTGTCAAAATACTTCTAGAAATCCAAAAAGATCATGTCCACTGGCTCTGCTTTGTCTAACTTGCTCATTACCACCCCAAAGAATGCTAACAGATTTGCCACGCATGACCTCTCCTTGATGAAGTAATACTAACTCAGCCCTATTTTCCACGCACTTCCAAGCACACCACAATCTCAATTTTAATACTGGACGCTAAAATCTTACCAGTGATCAAGGTCAGGCTAATCAGCCTACAAGTTCCTGTCTCTGCCTTCTTCCCTTAAAGGGATATTACATTAGCCATTTTCCAGTCCTCTGGGACCCTCCCTGATTCCAGTGATTCCTGAAAGATCATCACCAATGCTTTTACAATCTCCTTCAGAACTCTGGGATGTAGTCCATCTAGTCCGGGTGATTTATCCTCTTTCAAATCTTTCAGCTTTCCCAGCAACTTCTCCTTAGTGATGGCCACTACACTCACCTCCGCCTCCTGACTCTCTTGAAATTCTAGTATACTGCGCGTGTCTCTCAATGTGAAAACTGATGCAAAGTACATATTCAGTCCCTCTACCATTTCTTTCATCCCCATTACTACTTCTCCAGCCTCATTTTCCAATGGTCCAATGCTGACTCTTGCCTCAATCTTACCTTCTATATATCTAAAAAATAGTCTTGCAATTTTCTTTTATATTACTATCATATTTCATCTTCTCCCCCTTATTGCTTTTTTAGTTACCCTCCGCTGGTTGTTAAAGGCTTCCCAATCCTCTGGCTTCCCGCAAATCTTCACCATATTATATGCCTTTTTTTTGCTGTTATGCTGTCTCTGACTTCCCTTATCAGCCATAGTTGGTCGTCCTCCCATTAGTATGCACTTTATTCCTTGAAGTTCTGCTGTTGCTCCAGAAACTCCGGCCATTACTGCTTCCCTGTCTTCTCAACCATTTGATCAAATGTAGTTTCTGACGATTGAACTTCAATTTCCTTATCTTTATTCTTTGGATTTCTCCTCCTGCTTCAATCTGTGGCTTTGTGAGCACGTTATCACACAGTCAGGAAAAACCCCAGGATATACTTCCTGTAACACTTCAGTTGTCTGATCTTCCACAGGCTTTTCAACCGCACTTGGCATCACTCCCACCCGTGATCCAGCTATATCGTTACCAAAGATAAATTGTATTCCTGGGACCGAGAATTTCTCTATTACTCCTACCACCACTTCAATAGTTTTCACCAGACTCTCCAACCTTATTTTACATAATGGAACACTGCTCTTCTCACCATAGTTCCTTCTGAATTACATATCTCCTCATCTCTCACCAAAGATTGACTTACTTCTGCATCTCTTAAAATTTTAATTTCTTTACCTGCTCTTTCTGGGATATACGAGTAAATCTTACCCCGACAAGCAAGTTCTTTAAAGAGATCTGGCACTTTCTTCTCAACCATCCCCTGACTAGGTTGTACATTCTTTTGCAGCTTTTTAGCTTTCACTGTACCTTCCCTTACACTTCAATAAAATTCATGGGCTTATCTTGTTTTCCCACATCCGTCTTCGCAGTGCTTTTTCTCAATCACTAACACTGTGACTTCATGTGGCCTACTTTATTACAGTGAAAACACCTGAACTTTTTTACTTCTCTTTCCCCCTCCGGGGTTTCCTTTTTACCCTGTGGTAAACTAACTTTACTGTCTTCAATGAGATTTTCTCTTCCTTTACCACCTGAAGATTTCTGTTTTCCCCAATTTCTATCCCTTACAGATTGAAAATGATGTTGGAAGCCAAACTCTGATTTATGAACCAACTCATAATCATTGCTATTTCCACTGCTAATCCTGCAGTTTTAACTCTCTGTTCTTCTACATGAGTTCTCAACACTTCAGGTAGTGAATTTTTGAACTCCTCCAAAATAATCGTCTAAGAGCGTCATATGTTTGATCTATTTGCAATGCTTTTACCACCTATCAAAATTACTTTTTTCGATCCTTTCAAACTTAATGTACTTTTGACCAGGTTCCCTCCTTAGATTCCTGAAACATTGTCTGTAGACTTCTGCTACCAGCTTGTATGCACTTAAGATGCCTTTTTTCACCTCAACATATTCCCCAGATACCTTCTCTGATAGCGATGCAAATGCCTCATCCGAAACGTTAACTCTGATTTTTTTTTTTAACAGATGCTGTCAGACCTGCTGAGCTTTTCTGGCAACTTCTGTTTTTGTTCCTGATTTACAGCATCTGCAGTTCTTTCGGTTTTTATTCAGAGAACAGATTATCTCACATGCAATTCTCAAATCCGAGAGAAAAGTACATCAAAAGACAATTCTGAGAGAGAGTGTAGCAGCTGGGAGAGATTCACTGTCTTCCAGCCCTTCTGAGGCCCTAGCAACAACTGCTGAAAGCTAACGAAAAATCCTGGTTCTGTGAGATCTCGACCACGCCCACGCCCACTCAAGCTCTTCTATTGTTCCAATTTAAAAAAAATCCCAAGGCCTCACAAGCTGTTTACTTAACTGGCCTTCCAACTAGACAGCTCATCATCCCTGCCTGAAAACCTCACTTAAAAAAAACAAAATAACCTCTTAAAGCCACAGCATTGTCACAGAAGCATTATGAGGTACTACCCTAAATGTGAAGAGTTTTCTTCAGACGCATCTGTATTTGCCTCTTTCACACTTTGTAGCAACATTCCAATGGCCATCATCCATCATCCCAGTATTGGGGCAGGGAGGAGAGTGGGGAAAGAGTGGGTAGAATTGGGGATGGAGGAGGAATTAGCAAAAATGTAATCATAAATATGAAGAAGGAGCTTTTCTTCACTATTTACTCATCTTACAAGAATTGAATCATTTCAACAGACAAATTAATTCATTCAGGGACAGATTTTAACAAGATGTTACTCCAAACATAGGACCAGAGAACTACAATACTGATTTTACAAGAAAACTTACTCTTTTAAAAAGCCTTAGGAATTTGAAACTGAAGAATTGGTATTGGAGTTAACCTTTCAGAACTCTACATTGAGCTTAAAATGTTAACTCTGTTTCCCTTTCCACAGATGCTGCCTGACCCATCAGGTTTTCAGTACCTGTGACATTTTGCTTTCATAGATGATATGTCTGTTCAGTTTAATAACTTTACTTGAACTTAAAAGTCAATTAACACTACTGTTAATGCAAAGTACAATTGCATTGAAAAAGCATACTGAATTTTGAAAAGAACTCACACAGCTACTGGGTTGGCGAGTAGGAGGGAGTTAAGGTCTCCATTCTCCAGAGCAGATGTGAGTCTCTTTCCTGTTGATCTGCTGAGAGAGGTGCTGAGTTTTCGGGCTAGTCTCTTCGGAGTATTCATAATTGAACTCCCCTCCTCCATGCAGGAACTATACACTTCCAACTTCAACTCGAAATCTGGCTTCATGTCATCACTGCAAAGAAACAGTGCCAAAAGAAGTGAGTTATTGATATGCCACCAGCCCCCCAGCGCCCCCAGGTGAGTGGGCAAATCAATGGCAGATGCAGTATAATTTGGATAAATGTGAGGTTATTCACTTGGAAGCAAAAACAAGAAGGCAGATTACTACTTGGATGGCTGCAAATTGGGAGAGGGGAGTGTGCAGCAGGACCTGGGTGTCCTTGTGCACCAGTCGCTGAAGGTAAGCATGCAGGTGCAGAAGGCAGTAAAGAAGGCAAATGGTATGTTGGCCTTCATTGCAAGAGATTTCAAGTACACGAGCAGCGATGTGTTGTTGTAGCTTTACAGAACCTTGGTGAAGCCACACCTAGAATATTGCGTGCAGCAAAGCTTTACCAGGCTGATTCTGGGGATGGCGGGACTGACGTGTGAAGAGAGATTGACTAGGTTAGGATTCTTTTCGCTAGAGTTCAAATAAATGAGGGGGGATCTTATAAAGACTTATAAAATTCTATCAGGACTAGACAAGGTAGATGCAGGGAGGATGTTCCCGATGGTGGGTGTGTCCAGAACTAGGGGTTACAGTCTGAGGATTTGGGTAGACCATTGAGAATGGAGATGAGGAGACATTTCTTCACCCAAAGAGTGGTGAGCCTGTGGAATTCATTACCACAGGAAGTAGTTGATACCAAAACATTGAATGTATTCAAGAGGCTGCTAGATATAGCACCTGGGGCAAATGGGATCAGAGGTTATGGGGAGAAAGCAGGATTAGGCTATTGACTTGGACGATCAGCCATGACCGTGACGAATGGCAGAGCAGGCTCGAAGGTCCGAATGGCCTCCTCCTGATCCTATCTTCTATGTTTCTGTATTAGTTCCTGGTCCAAGTTGGAACTTGCTGGAAAAATAAAAGCATGATATTCCTGCACCCCATTATTAATGCTCAAAATTGATTAACACATCCCGATTAAAAGATCACTTGAGATGTGAATCTCCAAAAATTTGTCAATTCATTGAATTCTGCTATTTGCTTTACAGAAATAGTTTCTCATCACTAGCCTCTTTATTAAAGGGCTTGTTGGAAGTGAACATTAATTGCCTATTAAACATGTCACAGAATATGAAGTCTGATAATTAACAGCATTAGCATACTTTTAAAATGATAATTATTAATCACTGCCATTCAAAAGCATTTTTCTGCCAAAGGGTGAAAGTAAAAGTCTAACTAATGGCATAAGTTGCAAAATTCCCTGCTCCAGTGGGATATGGATCGTAATATTTTAGAAATATTTAGGGTGACATGGTGGCACAGTGGTTAGCACTGCTGTCTCACAGTGCCAGGGACCTGGTTTGATTCCAGTCTTGGCAGGTTTCTGCGTGGAGTTTGCATGTTCACCCAGTGTCTGCATGGGTTTCTGCCGGGTGCTCTGGTTACCTCCCACTGTCCAAGGTGTGCAGGTTAGGTAGATTGGCCATGGCAAAACCCCATGTGGGGTTTCCAGGGTGGATCTGGGTGGGGTGTTCTTTGGAAGGTCAGTACAAACGTCAATGGGCTGAATGGCCTTTTTCTGCACTGTAAGAAAAAAATTCTACACTTTATCAAAGTGAAGAAGTAAGTTAAAGATTGTTCAATGATTTGCCCTCAGACCAGCTACAAGCTGTCTATACTTCAATACTCAGCTGAGGTAAGTGGCTTGCATTCTAGGTAAAAATATTTTAGTGGTGACATCCAAAAGCAAAATTAAATATTATCAAGGATGGTTAAGAACTGTCCATTCCTTAAAAGACAGATTCATTGGAGAAAGAATAACTACTGTTTGGAAAAGTGAAATGGAATTTAGGATGCCTAGCTTCAGCAGCAAAGAAAGCCTTATTGATTCCTTCCTCGTCATTAATATAGGGAGTGTGTACATGGTCGGTGCAACCAAGTAATGCAGTCCAGTAGCTGAATTTCAGTCACAAAACAGGAACAAGCCATTTAGCCCCTTGAGCCTGTTCTGCCATTCAATAAGATCATGTGTGATTAATGTTTTAACTCCATTTACCCATAGTGCTTCAACTGTCCTTTATTTGCACTACCTAACAAAAATTTCTCAATCTCAGTTTTGAATTTTTTGAACATCCCCCAGTCACTATATCAATTTGAGGGAAAGTCTGGTCCAGATTACCACTTTGCAAGATGCAATCACAGTAATTTTAAAGTTGTGATCCCCTTGTTCTGGATTCCACAAAACTAAGTAATTGTTTTATCTACACCATTACATTCTTTAATCATTCTAAACGATGCAATTAGATTGCTCCTTAAACTTTGAAGGCCAAGGGAACAAAAGCCGAATGTATGCAACCTGAATTCATATTTAACTTATTTAATAGGGCGGTACAGTGACTCAGTGATTAGCACTGCTGCCTCACAGTGCCAGGGACCTGGGTTTGATTCCAGCCTTGGGAGACTGCCTGTGTGGAGTTTGCATGTTCTTCCCAGGTCTGTTTCTTCCAGATGCACCGGTTTCCTTCCCCAGTCCAAAGATATGCAAGTTAAGTGGATTGGTTATGCTAAATTACTCTGTAGTGTGCAGTTACCTACAGTAAAAATGTGGGGTTACAGGGATAGGGTGGGAAGTTCTTTGGACATCGGTGCAGACTGGATGGGCTGAATGGCCTCTAATGCACTGCAGGGATTCTATAATTTTTAATTCCACTTTCATTTGGTGAATCTGCGCTGCAACTCTTCCAAAGCCAATGTATCCTTCTTGAAATGTGGCAACCAGACTGAGCTATAAAACTTCAACTGATCAGTCCTTGTGTAAAGATAGCTTGGATCCTGTGCATTCAGAATATGTATGGGATCCTTCAAACCCCCTAACCTCTTATCCTAAAATTACTTGAAAAATTCCATATTATTATAGAAGCTGGAATTTGAACTCCTAAAGCTTTTGGATGAGGTATTGAATTGAGGCTCTGTTTGCTCCCTTAGGTGGATGTAAATGACCCCATGGCACATATTCTAAACAGGGAAGAGAAATGCACCCCAGTGTCCTGGTCAACAATACTCTTGCAACAGTGCTTTCATCTGATGATCTTGCCATTTGTGTCATTGCTGTTCATTAAACCTTGCTGTTTTTCAATTGGCTGCTGTTTACAAAACTGTCCATACTTCAAATGTACTTGATTGGTATCACTTTGGAATATCTTACAGTCATGAAAAGGTGCCATATAAATGCAGGTCTCCTCTCAACAAATACAAAAACTAACTAGGACTTAAAATAATGTATTTCCTTAACTCATTTATGGCCAATGGATGAGAGCACATGCAATGCAAAACAGTTTCTAAATACTTACAAAATCATCAGATTCTCAAAGCAGATGTCAGTAAGTGTCTTATCCACAATAACCATCTCGGTGTCAAAAATCTGAGTATGAATCTTCACCAAGCAAAACACGGCAAAACGTGGGCTCTCTAACACAAGGAGAAAAAGTTAACACCAAAGTAGAAAGGGCTCAGGAAAAGAGAAAGAGTCAAAAACAAACAATGCTTTTGAGTACTTACTGCCTCGGTTGTTGAAGTGATCAGAGTCTTTCCACATTAATGGAATTCGAATATCTACAGTGAGAAAATATCATCACCAATTACAATAGTATAGTACAGCAACTGCGCAAACAGAAATTGCGCAGTTTAGGTACATGGCTGAAGAAAAATATACTATATATTGTTCACACAACAGCAGGAGGAGCGACAGCACCACAACAGAGTGAAAGGTGCAATCACAACAGGACAGGTTGACATAGGCAGTGTTGATGAATGTGGGTGACCAATGCAGCATGCAGATGGATCAGCTGGTAGCCAGATGACTAAACTATCTGTAATACATCTGACCAGGCCAGGCTGTACTGAGAAGCAGGCATCAAGTCAAGGTGCAAAAAGCTTTATGGACAATTTCAACATTCACGTTTGTGTGTCCTATTCCCAGCATAGAATTAGTCAACTTAAAGCCTTGCATTACCAGAATAAAGATATTTGGAAATTAAAAAAACAAACAAGGTTAGTACTGAACAGTATTAGAATTACAAACATGTAAGTGATCAGTTAAATTGCACTTATTTGATGTTTTTAACATAGTAAAATGTTCCACAACATTTCACAGGAGCATCAAACAAACGATCACACTGAAATATGTATTAGATTATTAAATGACCAAAGGAATAGGTTTAATGCAGCATTTTAAGATGTAGAGATAGAAATTCTAGAGCTTAGAACCAGGGAAATGGGGAAATGGACAAGAGGCCAGAATTTAATGCACTCAGTTGTCAAGAATATTTGGGGCTGGTTAAGTTTACAGAGACTGACAGGGTAAGACCATGGTGGGATTTGAACACAAGATGACAATTTTAAAACTCCAGTGTTGGTCGACTGGAAATTGATGTAAGTCAGTGAGCAGAGAGTAAATAGGGCTTGAAGTGAATCGAGAAACAGGCATGGATGAATTCATGCTTCTGCAGGATTAAAAACTGGCCAGGGACAGGTAGGGGTGAAAGTGGTAATACTATGACAGCAGAAATAAGCACAGCACACAAGAAATAAAAGTGAATTATGTGGCCCACTGACCCTACTCTGCCATTTAATGCAATTATGGCAGATCTTGGGCTTGAACTCTACTTTTCCATCTGCTCCCCACAGCACTAGATTCACTGACAGCAAAAATCTGCCTAACCCAGCCTTAAATGTATTTAACACTGGAGCACCCACACCCTTTTGGGTTGAGATTAATAGGTTTCCATAGATTCACCATCCTTTGAGAGTGAAGTAATTTCTCCTCATCTCAGTCCTAAAAGATTGGCCCCTCATAGCATCTACCTTATCAAGGCCTTTCAGAAACTTGTAAGCTTCAATAAGATTGTTTCTTATTCTTCTAAATTCCAGAGGACATAGGCCCAATTGGCTCAGCTTCTCTTCATGGGAACATCAGAGGCAGTCTTTGTAAAGGGGATTTGAAACAAATACAACGTAGATACACAAATGGTAGTACCGGATATTGCAACTTTTCCAGAACATGCTGAATGCTGTTTTATTTCAGTGTCTGACAACCTGTGGGAAAGAGAGAACAAACATTAAATATGGTCTCATATGTACGGATTCGAAAACTGCAAGTTACTAATACACTGCTCACAATGGCAGCATGTCACATGTATCTAACATTTTGCAAAATCTGGTGTTATCATTTGATTATAACATGCTGAACTGCTAATATGGTCTCTAATTTACAGTACTCACAACAAGACAACATTTGAAGTACAAAAGCACCATCTCAGAAAGCTCTTTACAATTCTTCACGAAGAAGAAAGGGTGATTGGTTTCTGTGGCATGAAAAGAGTCAGCCCTTTCAGGCACATTTTCAAATAATATTCAACAAGTGGTATTTCTTTCCAAAACACCCAATCGCATTTTTTGTGGATATCCTACACGGCTTTCAATTACATATATTTTCACAATTTTAACTACTTGTACTAAATTGAATAGTGGTGAGTGTGGATGTGTTTGCAGAGATTGAGGTCCAGTGAAAACAGGGGGGAGACACACTTTATTGTATAAAAGTATTTAACAGGGATCTTAGGATTTCCTTATTTTTAAAAATATTACTCTTCCATTGGATGTGGACATTTCAGTTTAAGCTGGCATTTATTGCCCATCCCTAATGACCTTTGAAGGTGGTGGGGAGCCATCTTCTTGAATCATTGCAGTCCATGTGGTTTAAGGGCATCCACAGTGCTGTCAGGAAGGGAGTTCCAGGATTCTGAGCCACTGACAGTGAAGAAACAGCACGGTAATTCCAAGTCAGGACACTCTATGGTTTGAGGGGAACTTGTATGTGTGAGTGTTACCATGCATCAGCTACCCTTGTCCTTCGAGATATAGAGATTTGGAATGGTGCTGTCGAGAGATTGACTGCAGTACATCTTGTAGATGGCACACACTGCTCTCAGTGAGCACAAGTAGCAGATGGAGTGAATTCTTAAGATGGCAGACAAGGAACAGATCCATGTGGGCTGTTTTGTCCTGGATAGTGTCCAGTGTTTTGAGCGTTAATGGGGCCTCACCCATCTAGGCAAATGGAGACTATTTCATCACACTTTTGCCTTATAGATGGTTGACAGAATTTGTGGAATCAGGTGGTAAGCTTCTCACTGTGGAATTCCGAACCATTGATCTGTTCTTGTAGCAACACTATTTATAAAGTTGGGTCAATTCAGATTCTGAATTATATTCAGCTTACAGTGGACATTAAACAATTTGATATAAGCTGAAATGGCAGCCATCAAGGAACAAAATGGAAAAAGGAGGAGAAGTAAAAACCTACTAATTATGAGTTCCAGCCTACCTCCCTATCACTTTGGGCAGGGTTTGTTCCTCAGTACACCTCTGTACCTCAGCCACGTAACTGCGGATTCGAGCATTACAGGTTAGCAGATTTTTCGCAGCATGCAGCACCTGATCCCGTTGGGTGGAGGCAACAAGAAGTTTGCAGATTCCTTCCCGCATCCGAGTCTCAAAGTCGATTTTTTCCTGGATATTGGAGCCCTACAAGACAGTACTGTCATTACAGGAAGCGGTAATTTGACCTATTGAGTGCATTCAGGCTCTCTGCAGAGCAATACAGTCAATCCCATCCAATTTCCCTTTGAAAATACAGATCCTGTCTTTTTCTGCCATCCTTCTATGAAAGACTTTCAGGTCATTGCCACCCACTTCAGAAAAAAAAATTTTTCCTCACAGTCCCCCTGTAATTCTTGTCCAAAATAGTCTTCCCTAGACCTTATTCCATCAGCTGGTGTGTAGCTTTGTTGTTTGCTGTATCTGAACTTGTTATAAAGGACAATTCCAGCCTTTCCAACTTACCATCACAGTTCAAATCCTCACCCTGAGAAATCGTCTCCCTGCCCTCAGTGGCTCTAGCCCTGATCTATATGGAACCCCACCATATACCATCATGTGATCTGAATGAGAAAGTAACAGAAAACTAAGAAAAGTGTTGCATTTTCATTGTGTATTTAAAGGCCCCAGGAACTAGGAAATCACAGATTAAGGGGAAAATGCAGGAAAGTGGACACGAGGTATATCCTATTCAATGGCAGAGCAGGCTTGCAGGCAATGGAGTAATTGGCCTACTCTTGTTCCTATTTCTAATGGGCTTATGGCATCCCAAGGTGTTTTACAGCTATATAAGTCACCCGTTCTTAATATAGGAAAGACGGCCACCAATTTCACCAACAAAAAGTTGCAATGATGATTTGCACAGAACCCTGCTAAAATAATACGAAATGTTTATCTTACTCTAGCCTGGCTGCCTGGGAACTAAGCATTAAATGCAAAATTCTTATGTTAAGTTGCAATACCAGTCTCAATCTTTCTAAGGGTCACATTTGGCTAAAACATTCTTAAATTAAAACCGACATTCTGAAATGAACAATGAGTCAACCTGGTCTTAGTAGTTAACAAATCCGATTTCCGGGTTTGTTCATTCAGGCCAACGGTCTTAAAAGATCAGAATCAGATTAATGCTTTGCATCAGCCCAGAGACCATTAGTGATCAATGCAAAAGCAAACCCACTTTCTGAAGCTACTCAATTTTCATTCAGAACAGTCCGTCTTTTATCCATCATATTAGGAAGATAATGGTGTGCTGAAGATGGAGAGATTGCCCTCCATCAGAATGTAACAGACATACCTTAGCTACTCCAATCAAGAACTGGAATAACAGCAACAAACCTCAACACTTAAAGGAAGAAAAGATCCAATTCCCAAATCTGAGGGGGATCTGACTCCAGGGCCTTTTCAGGGGTTGGGGAGGAAGAATAGTGGGGGAAGTGGCTGGTGAAGAAATTGAAGCACTTTCCAGCAAGCAGTGATGCAAAGGCCTTTACCTTCACTTCCCTTCAGCTGCCAGCTTTCGTTGACGTCTGGGATTCTCAGCTAAACAAAGTTAATTCTGTAAAGTAGGTTAAACCAGAGGCTGCCTGCCTCATTAGCATTTAAATATGGTCGACATTGCCAAGGTAAAGCTGGTCCCTTGTCCTGTCTCTGTAAAACCCATAGTGGGGCAGGTTTGAGATTTTAAACTTTATACCCTAACCATCTTTGCATATTAAAATCAACTGATGCTTTGATGATGATAACAACAGTTATACTGAACAGACACAAAACACAACTGTTAATCAAATACAGTCATTTCCCACCTCCTTGGATTGAATTCTTGAACAGACTCCAGTGACTTTTACGTCCAAACAATGTCTTTCAGATGAAACAAAAGATTGAAGGCCCACCTACCTGTCCAGGTGGATGCAGGTATGTTAAGAAGGAAACATTCTGGTCTATCACAAGCAGGCTTTCTTGCAAATAAACAGTTCACACAGAAATATGCATGAGACTGCAACTTCAAGGTGGCATTGAAGTAAAGGCTGTTGTTTTAATCTTTTGTTTTCAAATGAAAGTATTTAACTTTCAAATATATCTAGAGTACTGCATTTAATATATCACAGTACTGTATAGAAAGGAAATTGGAAATGTAGGATCCTGGCATGCTACCACATCAAAACAGTCCATTAATATTTTCCATTGGCATTTTTCCTTATTAAATATTTGGCCTAATTCTAACAAAGGAATGTCCTACAAAAGTATCTGCTGTGAAGATGGCAGATCATTCCAACGATTCTCTTAAGGTGTGACCAGGCATAGGTGGCAATGGGTGGCATGACAGCACCAGGGACCCAAGGTCAATTCCAGGTCAATTGGAATCTGCATGGGTTTCTGCCACATGGTCTGGTCCTCCCACAATCTAAATATGTGCAGGTTAGACAGATTGGCCATGCTAAACTGCCCAACAGTGTCCAGCAATATGCAGGTCAAGTGAATTAGTCGTCGTAAGTGCGGGATTATGGGAATGGGGTGGGGAACTAGGTCTGGGTGCGATGTTGTTGGGAGGGTCGGTGCAGACTCAAAGAGGCCATTCAGCCCAATCCACAATGTAGGGATTCTATGATTCTACTCTATCGACCAGTTGCTTGTACAACCAAGGAGATGTGCACATTTCCAGTCAGTGAGTTGCTATGAGCAACTTATCACATGCTCAACAATCTCTCCTCTTGATATGCTCAATCAAAGCAGGAAACTATAGTAACTTTTCCTGGATTTCCATACAAGAATCCAAAAATAACAGTGATGAAATGTTCTAAACAAAGGGAAACTTTTTCACATATTCAGTGCACCCCTAGTTAATGTTGTCACGAGCCAGGTGATACCTGCACCTACAACACCAAGACCATATGATCTGTTAACTTACTGATATTTAGCTTTTTGGGGAGAGCCCAAATGACCCAACTGCTATGGTACGAGTATCTTAAAAAGTACGAGGAAACTGGGCAGTGCACGGGTTAAGGCACTGTTCCTCCACATTGGACTTCTGGCTCTGAATTCAGCACAGTCTGATTTGCTGAAACAGCTCCAGCTTGCAGTGATTGTGGAGTGAACAGAAAAAATGACGAAAATCTGAAATCAGATTGGGGTAGGCGATGTTGTAGTAGCATTGTCACTCGATGAGCAATCCAATCGAGGTAACATTATTGGGACCCAGGTTAGAGTTCCACTATGGCACAAATCTTGAAGTTAAAATCTAAAGAAGACCATGAAATCACTGTTGATTGTCATAAAAAAACCATCTGTTCACTAATGGCCTTTAGGAAAGGAAATCTATTGCCCTTATCTGGTCTGACGTACATGTGATCCAGACCTACAGCAACGTGGTTGACTCTAACTTGCCTTCCAAAGTGGCCTAGAAAGGCATTCAATTATATCAATCATTATAAATTCGCAAAAAAGGAATGAAAATGGACAGGCAACATGGCATCGACCCAGACACTGGAAACGACAAAGGCAAACTATTACCCTATTACCCCTACAAAATTACCTTGAATAACATCTGGAAGATAGTGTCAAGATTAGAAAAGCTGTCTTACAGATTAAATCAAGCAACAGCCTGACATTTTGATACTCACAGAATAATATCGTAAAAAAATGTCCCAGACAACATTATCACCAAGCGTAGGTAGGTTCTGTCCCACCTAAAGGACAGACCCAACAAAGGTGGCAGCACAATGGTATAGAGTGAGGAGAGAGTTGTCCTGGGAATCCACAACATTGATTTTGGACCCATGAAGTCTCAAGGGCAAGGAATCACCTGCTGATCACCACACATAGCAACCCTCTCAGCTAATGAATTACCACTTGAGGAAGCATTGAGGGTGGCAAGGGCATAGAATGTACACTGGGTCAGGAACTTCAATGATCAAGATTGGCAGCATGATGACTGACAGAGCAGGTCGACTCCTAACAGGGAATGCTATAGACTGAGAATCAACAGGGAAAAGCCTACTTGACTTCATCCACATCAATCTGCTTGCTGCAGACACATTTTTCCATGACAATATCAGTCATTGTGGAGACAAAGTTCCATCTTCACATTGAAGATATCCTCCATTATGTTGTGCGGCATCATCACCAGGATAGACTTTGAATAGATCCAGCAATTCAAGACTGGGCATGCATGAGTTGCTGTCAGCCTTCAACAGCAGAACTGCACTCAAACGCAATCTGCAGCCTCACTTCCCGGCACTTCCCCCATTCAACTAATACGTCAAGCCAGGAGTTCAACGTTGGTTCAATGAAGAGTGCAGGAGGTATGTAAGGAGTAGCACTAGACCTGATAAGCTAACAAATAGGACTAATTGCGTGCCAAACAGCATAAGCAGCAAGTGATAGACAGGGCTATACACCCATGGGATCGCCTATCTCCGGACTCACAGCAGAAGCAGTGATGCAAAGACTGGAAGGGACTGTCCTTCCGCAAATCCAACCTAAAATATGGATACGCTACGTAGACGACACCTTTGTCATCATTAAACGGACCAAATTAGAAGAGACACACAAACTCATAAGCAACACCCTCACCGGAATAAAATTCACCAGAGAGGAGAAGAACAAACAACTCCCATTCCTGGACATCATGGTAGAGCACAAGACAAATGGGGAACTGCAAACAAAAGTACACCGAAAAGCCACACACACAGACCAGGTATTGAACTTCAATAGTAACCATCCCAGCACACACAAACAAAGCTGCGTGCAAACACTATTTAAACGGGCAACAACACACTGCAGCAACATGGAACTATGCCAAGAGGAGGAGGAATACCTCTTCCAAGTGTTCAAGGTCTTCCAAATGTTCAAGGATAATGGATATCCAAAGAACTGGGTCAGGAGATGCCTACAGGAACAGCATCAGAAAGATCCTACACGCCCCGACAAACTCATCATACTACCCTACATCAGGAACACGTCAGAACTCACCACAAGACTTCTACGACCGCTGGGCATCAGAGTGGCACACAAACCCACATCAACCCTGCGACAAGTGCTCACCCGAACTAAAGACCCACTCCCCGCCATGGACAGGACCAATGTCATCTACAAGATCCCCTGCAGAGACTGCGAGAAACACTACATCGGACAAACAGGAAGGA